TTAGGCAAAATGTACTACATGGTCTTCTAATAAGACTCACACACAGCACCTGAGCACTAGCAGACTGAACTGTCTTTACACAAGTCATTTTACACACAGTATTTCCCAGTCTTTGCAGATGGGATTTGCAATATTAAAATCCTAAACCACCTTTGAGAATGTCATTTGCTCACTCTGCACTTCAGTACTTTTAATCCTAACACAATGAGCCATATTAACTGTCACATAGACCATAAGATCTAGATAGCCAAAGGTCTGACACTATTGGTAAAACTACAGCAGTGTGTCCTGCATCTCATTCTCACTTTCCTCCCTTTCTGTGGGACCTGCTGATGCAGGACTCCTGGATTCAGTCCCAAACCATAGCACCCTCTGGGAGACATTAGGCCTTCTAATTCATGGGTCACCACTTTATCTTCCAGCTCCTTTCTTACCTTTCCTAGTCCTACTACTAAGCCTTCAATAGGAATTAACCTTTGTTATCTCTGCTTTAGCTGACTGATGCATCACCTGACCAGCATTCACATTTTTGATAACTGAAAAAATTAGGCAAAACATATAAGAGAATTAAACAGTAAGTGTAAGTGCTGTCCCAAAGCTTCAAAATAAACTTGCATTCTGTATTCATTTTGCTGAGATAGGCATTTATTCCCCATGGAACTGCCACTGGAGAACAGGCCATGGCTGCCATGAAGAACATGTCCTCTTCAGTGACAGCTGATTGCCTGCTGCAGAAAGTGATTGCATGGATCCATATCCATCCCAATAAGTTTGAGGGTCCTATTTTAACCTAAGTCATGGAACAGAATGGTGGCTGAACTGTTTAAATTCAGAATAGAACCTTCATCTGTGTTCATTTCTACTGAGGGAAGCCAATACAACAGACATATGGCAACCACTTCATTGGATCTCAGAAGAAATTCAGTAACACTTTTTAATAAGCAGCTAAGGAAAAATTACCACATCCTTAGGTGTTACAAGAAACCTTTTGGTGCTGCTGGCTGAAAGAGTTAGATGACCCGAGTGCTTCATAGTCCCAACCTTCATCTGTGTTCATTTCTACTGAGGGAAGCCAATACAACAGACATATGGCAACCACTTCATTGGATCTCAGAAGAAATTCAGTAACACTTTTTAATAAGCAGCTAAGGAAAAATTACCACATCCTTAGGTGTTACAAGAAACCTTTTGGTGCTGCTGGCTGAAAGAGTTAGATGACCCGAGTGCTTCATAGTCCCAGGTCAACAAAAGCAGGTCAGTTAATTGATGCCACTGCATCAGGTCCACAGTTTTGCCAGTAACAGCAGAAAGTAAGAGTAATGAAGGACTTTGGGGAAGGAGCACTATCTGAAAGGAGATGAGGGCACCTTTTTATTTCTGCACTTCAGGCACAGATCTCTGAAGCAGATCGGCTATGCCTTTGAAATCAGAAGAATGCATTCATTTGATTTTGAGATATAGCTCAATCTGCATTTTCACTCTTACCTGGCCTCTTCGAGTCTCACAATTGTGAAGATAACTCAAGTGATAAATTTTCAAGTTCAAGGATGCAAAATTCAGGTACTTCAGAAAAAGCTGAAAAGGCAAATTATGAGATCAAGTTGAATGCAGTAGCAACCTCATGTATACTTGTCATATTATACTGTATTTCATAACACCCCTTTAGCAGCATCATGGCAATTTCCCTGGATAAATGCTTTGCTTTGCACTGGCATGAGATGAGGCTTATCCCACTGTAACTTTCCTGAAAGATTTATGAGATAAGCATCCTCATTGTAAGCCTCTGAGGCTTAGAGGCTGACTCCCCTTTAGGGAACCTCACACCAGTGGAGCTTCACTAAAGGAGATATCCCTAGAGTAAAAGAATCTGTGTGACACAACAAAAGTAACAACTCTTTGATAGAAACACAGCTACTGATCACTTACTGTTTCATCAGAGCTGGTGAAGTATGGTCCATTGAGCTTGTTAATGGCCACAATGACAGCAACCAAATCTTTGCCATTCAAGATGGGTGTAGCAAGAATGTTCTTTGTAGTGTAGTCGGTGAGCTCATCAACAAATGAACTGAACTGGGCACACTGTTTAATCGAGAATTTGCAAATTAAGCAGTTAAAACAATGTCTGTAGTCTTAAAACCAAGTTAAAGTACATCCTCTCAAACTAAGTTGCTTAAAGGAAATTTTGTTTAAAAATTACTGAGAATGAGAAATTAATTAGCAGAAAATTGGACAATGCACAGGTGATAAAGCTAGTATTGAGAGAAGAAGCTGTGACTTCTGGCTGCAACATGTGCACCTTTAACTTTTTGTGGATATCTTGCAAATCATAAGCTTTAACATGTCAAACTGTCAGAAGGAGGGTCTCCATTGGTCATTCTCAGGTTCTTGATAATCACGGTACCTCCTCCATCCCATCCTCTGACTTCTTATTAGCACTGTGAAGTGGGTACAGCCAGATACCATGTAGTACTGCATAGTCACAGTGTATAAACCAGTAAAGTCACTGGGAAGTTCACTCATCCTCGTATTTCTTCTTCTTTTGCCTGGACCCTGAAGCTGTTGTTGACTTGCAGCATCCATGAAGCTATCCCTTGTTTCTCTTGAAAATGTTCTCCCAGACATTCCCTCACACATTGATGGCCCTTTGTGCATGGGATGGTAGATGGTAGGGAAGGTATCCCAATAGAGAACGCAGTTGGCACCAGTAGTGTGTGTTTCTCGGCACTTTCCCCCTGCCCCTGACAATGTCAGCCCCTGCTGCCCCATGAGCATTTTGGCAGTGCTTGCAGACAACGCTGCTATAAACTGGGCTGTCTAGGGGGTCACCACTGCCATTCAAACCACTGGTAGAGTGCTAGGTCATGCTGTAGGGGCAGCACAAAAAGAAATTGTTCAGTTGTTCCTTATATGAATATTACTTTTCGCCTGATCCCAAAAGAAAACAGAGCAGAGAAAGGATAGTGTGGAGAAGGCAGATAGCCCATCACTTCACCTGCAGAGGGTCTTATTGACACCATCATCACCTGTCAATAAGGAGTGCAAAGATCATCTTTCTGACCCAAGATCTTCTCCCTGCACAGCTGAATAACTTGTCAGTTCTTGTCAGTCCAGAAATTAACTTGTCAGTCCTTCTATTTGGGCTAGCAAAAGCCCTACAACTCTGATCATATTCAGAAAGTTGCACCAGAAAGTAAAAGCCCTCTCTAGTGCACCTTCTCCCCATACCTTCCCCACTGCTGGCCTCTACTGCCAAATGGAGTAGATCAAACATTTAATTTCTGGGCTCTTTCAAAGGAATTTCTTCTGGCAGTGCCCAAATGCACTGGAGTTGGAGAGCAGCACTTGGCTCACAGCACTGAAATCCTCCTGCATATTTTGAGAAACATCTGAAACCAAGTAGCTTTAAAAAGTTTGTCACATTCTCATGCTTCCTCAATACCAGCAACCCCCACCCCAAAAAAATGGTTGCAAAACTGAATCAGTGTCTTAGTATGTTCTGTGGAAAACAAGGACAGCTTCTCTAAACGGTTTGGATATGCTTGTACTGAGCAACAAATAAATGGATAAACAGATGGTGTCCTTGTAACGAGCAAACAATAGATGGAATAATCCCAAAAGCCATATTTGGGTCACATGGATTTTAAGTTTATACCTATGATTAGAACAAGCAGATTGTTATTGCTGCCATTCAGGTTTACAGGAATCCAGAAGTATGGGCAGTAAATATTGTCAGGAAGGCACAAAAAGAAAGCATTCAAATTCCTCAGCTCCCTCCTGATGTTGCAGTTTGTAGTGTTTGCAGAAAGGGGTTTGTTTTGGTGAAAGTTTGTCTCTTGCTGCTTCCAATGAACACCAACTTTACACAGGTTGCAGTTAACACACCTGCTCTGAGATCCACTCCCTCTGGTTCATAAAAGCATGTCTAAATGCCCTTCTCTGTAGCTTCATTAGACAGCATTTTTAAATGTTGCTCTTTCGTGTGTGTTGGAAAATCTTTTCTGGACTTACTGTAAAGGATTTCTCTCTCTTTGCCACTTATGGAATATAAATTTGTGTGGAAAAATTCCATGTGTGTTCAGTGTAGATCTGATTTCCTCACTCTCCTCTGGTGGACCAGATGTGATTTTAAAATATTTTTTTTTTAATCAAACAAGCAAGATGTGATGGTGCGCTTGTCTGCAAGCGGTAAGACCTAGCGTAATTAATGTGCTTAGCTTCACCTCACTCTGTAAATAAAATTGGAAGCACCTCGCAGACTTGCTACTGGTGCTTTTGCTTCCACTACACAGCTATTACACTACAAGAGCTTTTGACCAACTACCGAAATGTGCTGCTACCTCTTGACCCCTTTGTACTAGTAAGCATGTGAGCCTCTCTCCTATCACATGAATGAATAAATGGCAAACATACCTCATTGACATCCTTGACGTTCATGGTTTTCTTGGTCTGTGCAACATAGCCCACAATGCCTATGTCCAAAGGATAGACAATCTCACAGTCTGGGGAGACCAGGCATTCCTCCAGAGTACTTGCATCTTGGATGTTGAAAAGCCTTGTTGCCAGTTCAGGTGTACCATTTCTCTGTCTGTACATGAACAGACTACAGCGGTCAGCATGAATAAGGGACCTGATTCTTCTCAAGGTCTTGAAAACAACTTTCTCCATGTTGATGCTTTCTTGCATGTCCTGGATTAACTCAAAAAGTATTTCACTCTCATTGGTATCCCAGGACTCTGTTCTTAGTTTCTTCTCAAAATACTGCTTGGCAAAAGCAGGATTGCTGTCAAGAAACTTCTCCACGTCATCTTCACTAATGCTCATTGTGAATGCCCTGGATCCTGTGGTAGCTAGTATTCCAAAGGTGTGGTCTGTGCAAGCACCACTCTAATTTCTCATGTAGTTCCTAAGTTTTGTTATACAAGATGCTGCTTCTAGAATGACCAAGACTGCAAAGAGAGCTTGTCATCAGGAAGATGTATTCCTTTATAGTCCCAAAGGTGAATCTGCAGGAGGACAGATCTTCTCAACCAAAGAGATTAGATGACCTCTACAAGAGCTTTAGGTCAACTTTCTTCGTAATCTAACTGCAAACAAAAACTGAGTACTTGCAATATCTGAAAACACTCCTTTCTATTATCAAGCAGAACTCTTACTGAAACAATTATATTGAGGCAGCAACAGGGAAGAACTGCATCTCCTAACATTGAAATAAGCTCTTTAAAGTCTAATTAAATATATACTGCTTGGACCTAATCCTTGGCTAACAAGGTGAGCATCTTATTATTTCTGCTCTCCCAGCTTCCAGCAGTAGTAGAAAGCACATCCTTCACAGAAGAGCACAATGAGCAGAACACAAATAGTGAGGTAATGCTGCTCTTTCAGAACTCTGTACTATTGCATGACTCTTTGGCTGCTCCTGTAAGGTTTGTTCTCTAACAGGCACATCAATCCTGAATGATTTAGTACAGGATTTGAACTAGATTTGCAAGGTGTATGGCCTTTTCCTCTTGCTAGTAAAAATGAGGAAGGGAAAATATGCATCTTAGTGGCATCCCTTTAGGAAGGATTCTGGAGAATTTCTGGCTGGGGATGCTGGATTGAAAGATTCTCAGGAAACACAGGAAGCCCTTGCAGATGAAACAAGCAAACACCAAAAAAGCCCAGCCAAACAAAAACGAAGCAAACCAGGAAGGTAGAAAAATTTCTCTCAACATGACCAGCGGAGAAAGGGTGTAAAATATGGCTGTGAGGAACAGTAGTTGTTTCACATCAATGAAGCCACCATGCTGTGCATTCCTTTTGCCTCCCAGTGTGATGCTGGGAGGCAAAATGCCACAGAGGTCAATACACTTCAGAGGAATTAAGCAATGCACAAGAGTTTTCATTACTGGGGAACAAGATCAAGTCCCATCCACCACATTGCTGGAAAAGGGCTCAGCTACTCAGGGACAAGGGTCCTGGCTGCCCAGCTCTGTGAGCATTGCCACTACTTCCAGGAGTGGTGAAAACCAGCCCAAATGTAAATGTGGGTGCCTGGAAGGAGGGTGGCTTATTCTGTCAACTCTCATAGTCAGGATAATAAAACAGAATTATTGCTCAAGAAGATTTGGAGGACGTGATGTGTGCCAGGGCAGCATACACTACCTCCAACAACCATGTTCTAATAGAGGGACAAGGACCTACTCAGGGCATGGTGGGGGTCTGTTCCAGAATGGGGGTAGATAAATGGGTGTGGATTGTGCCTTTTTGTGAGCCACAAGCAGGACTGTCCCAAGCACAGGACTTACTGACAATGAGAATTTTATCTTTCAAACATCTGTAGGATGACAGCACTTCAAGTTGCAGCCTGTTCAGCAAGGTTTTGCATGCCACAACAGTTTTCTGGATACAAAGGGTGGCAGGAAGTGCAAGAGGGAATTTTCTTTAGACTGGAGGCAAGAGAAAGAACTAGTGAAGAAATGAAGGTAGGAGACAGTTTAGGTGAGCGAGACCATGAAATCTAAGTTTGAAACTGAATAAAATACAGGCAATTTTGTAAATCATGTATTCTTGTTAAGCAAGGAAAACCAGACAGAAAGTGTGTAAAATATGGTGAAATCATTGAAGATGAGTATAAAAAATGGAAAAGCAGAAAGTTCAAGATCAAATATGGGATTAAATTAAGAACGTGAAGGGCAATGAACATTTTCTGTTATCATATTGGGAAGAGTATGAATATCAAGGAAAATATTGAAGATCTAGAGTTCTTAGAGGGTTGTGTGAAGTAGCTTCTAAACTGTTAATGATTTCTTCTGACAATCAATGGAGGATCTTCTGGGGCTCTGAAATGCTGGGAAAATGTAAGTCTAATGATTCAGCAAAACAGGAAAAAGGAAGAACTGGAGAATTCCACAACAGACCATTTTAAATCTAGCTGCTAAGAAAATGCAGGAACAAACAAGTTTCTGTAAATAGCTGCAGGAGATAAGCAACAGCTGGTGTGACTTTATCAAGAGCAAACTGTATCACAGCATAATTTTCTTCACGCCAGAGTAAGATGTCTGTGGAGAGAAGGAAAGTAACAACTGCCACAACTCTTGACTGATGAGGAAATGACACACAAGATACTCTGTCTCTGAAAGTGAGGGCTCTGATGAAATAGTTAAAAGGTGGCAGCACATCTATGTCAAAGACGAAGAGTTGTTGCTAGTAGCTCACTAGTGAAATGTGGAACTTCTTGAGTAGGTCTCTATGTGGAGGCTGTCACATATGTAGAGCTTCCACTGACGGGTGGAAAAACACTAAGCCAGTGAGTGAGCTGCAGTCAGATGTCTGTAAATGTGTTTGCTCACCATCTTAAAACGAAGTTGCAGACAGGTGTGTTCAGGACTAGAGGACTAGAACTCACCAAGGGTGCATGAAAAGTCCTACTTATGTGAAGAAGTGTCACCTGGTGAGTTCATAGGGATGAGTCACTACCTGGGCTTAAAACAGGCTGCACATGTGTCAGGACTACTAGGCAGAGGGAGGTGCGTATTCATTAGGATGAACCTTCTGTTGCATAACAGATTATGCCAAGTTGTACTGAACAGATGCCTCATCTGGAATACAAGAGAAAATGTGACCTCTGAGGCAAGACTGAGGTTTGTCATGTCCCTTTTTGAGTCATCTCTTTCCTAAACAAAACAATTACCAATTGTATAAAAGGCTAAGAAAAAGAGACAGTCTGTTCCCTGTAGTTGTGAAAGACAGTAAGTTTTAAACCTGCACAGAAAAGTCTTCCAAAACAGTGGAAGACTCACCTAATCTTAGATAACCCTAGAAACAGAGATGACATCTTTTTTCCCAGTGAACATTTCTAATCAGAAGAGACACACCTGTAATGACATTAGCCTGATGGAACTGATATGAGCAAGTTCTTAGAGATAGAGGGAAACCCATTTTTCTTTGCGTTCAGCCTCCCATAGTATCTGGCCTCTCAAGCCATATATTAGGAAACAATTGCTTGGCCAACAGTAAAAAAAATTATTTGCAGTGGTGTAAACCTCCCATATGGGAGCAGTTTTATTTATGATTAATGCATAATGAAAGCTGGAGGCAACCTTCTGCCTTCTAGTGCTTCCACTCCAGTATTAACCTGAGCCCTTCCAGTACACTGTAAAATTCAGAGCCTTGTTTCATCCCACAGTGATAGAGAGGGAAAAAGATGAAGTAAAACCAATTAAGAAACTTTTCAGCAGCCTAACATGTTTTGGATTCTGGTCTCCCAAAGGAATGAAGCTTCCTATCACCAGGACTTTGAAGGCGGCCCAAAGTGAACTGTAGTTCCTCTTACAGTCCAGCATGCTGTGTCCTGGCAGTTTTTATGATCTGTTCGATTCTCCTTGTGCCAAGGCAGATTTATGGAAGGAGAGAAGGTCTCTGGGAGCTCATAGCCACTTCTCAGAAAGGTTTCAATGTCCAGGAATCAGGCTGTTATGGAATGTATATCACAGGACAGAGTTGTAAAGTTAGAGGATGTATTTAGGATGCCTTACATCAGAACACAAAGTCCTCTGGGGTTGGTAACATATGTTGTTTTCCTGACATAGCCAGGCTCTGTGAATGCATTGAGGGGTATACCAAGTGTATATGCTTTTTTTAGTTGTGATTTGGGAGCTGAAAAATTGCAAACGGATGACCCATTCCTATTGAATCAAAGCTGGCACTCTTTTGGATCCAAACCTTCCAGATATCCACACTTTGTTTGGTATGAAAGGTTATGTTCAGTTCAAAATAAATGTTTTTATTTTGGAACATTTGTAAGAAAAACAAGCAATGTTCAACAGTGATACTCCAGTCTCAAAATATGAAAGATCCAAACTCAGTTCCTGCATATGCACACAGGGTTTGAAACCTAACAAGAAGACTTCCTCTTAACAAAGGGAAAGAATAAAGGTCCTGAAGTACTGAAGTTTATAGCTGCAGAAGTGGTGAAACTGTGAGGGTGAAGCATTATTTGTTAAGCCAAGTCAGAGCTGTGTAATTGCAGTGCAATTCAAACTACATAGGAATGGCAGGAGGAAATCTAAATCACCTGTGCACATGGAGCCAAGAGTGCCAGGTCAAACCCCTTAGCGAAGGGTGGTGGGCTGATGGCAACCCTTTCCAGAAGGGTGATAAGCCCAGAATTCAAAGCATGGTCCAAAGGCTCCTGGTGTTCCCTAGGCCGTCAGGGATACTCAAGTGGCACCACAAAAGCCATTGCTGGCATAGCAATGAAAACTGAGGTGGATACAGTCTAAGCTTGTTGGTGGATGTCATTTGAGCCATGTTTCAAATGGAAAAGTCTAATGTTTATGCTGCCCTGAAGGCTTGGCTTGTAGCTGGAAAAATGAGCTGGAATTTCTGGGAATAAAATTCCTCTCCTCCCAACAACTCATGTGACAGTCTCTTCCCAGTCCTGGGATGGGCACTACTAAAAACTCCAATCATGGAGTCAAATCATCCAGCTAACCTGGTGCAAAATGTACTACCCAGGAGAAGCAGTAATGTTAGGACCATTTATGGGACTGTTCAAAGCAGGTGGTGCAGACACTATCTGCAAAACAGAAAGAGGGATGGCAAGTGCTGGGGATGTTAGGGTTGAAGACTCTTCATGCCCCTCCTTTTCTCTTAACCATGAGGCTATGGGGAGGCGAGCTGCAAGTGACTAATTTGATTAGACATTATCCTTGCAGAATGCTGTATTGACAGCTACACTCAAACCTTTCTGGCCCACTCATCCATTGGCATAACAAGATTGCAGCTTATCTGATTTACTATTTAATATTCTCATGCCACCTGCTTGTATAAAAGAATAAGCTTACCTGCCTGGAACCCAGCAAGGATCAAGCCATGTCCCTCACCCCTCCCGAGCCAGGGTTTTTTACCCCCAAGTTCTGGCCCACTGCTCCAGCTGCACACGAATTGTCTGTTGCTACATGGAGGGCTAGTGTGCAAAACCTT